GAGATGCAGACTGGACAAGGTATGCAAAAGGTATCTCAGCCCACAGAAAGGGGGAGACTGGGAAACATTTCAGAAGGGACCCTCCCTAGTTTTCCAGAGAGTAAAAGGAAAGGAAAGGACAAAAACTTTCAGACTAGCAAGATTCTGTTAATATAACCTTACAATAAAGATAGAGCTGGTACTCCTGGTTGTGCTTCTCATCTGGACTACCTCGCTGGGCTAACACCTGGGCAATGACCTCAGGAGCTGCATGGAAGAAGCAGGCTGAATCACTATGCTCCCAACACACAGACCTCACCACATGTTCTGGAGCTCTATGTACAATTCTAGAGTCACTTGCACAAATACACCAACACAGTCTTACTTACACACCATTCTCACATACCCCTATAAGGCAGTGTTTCTCAACCTTGCCAACTAAGAGGTGTGGATTTCAATTCCCAGAATTGAAAGCTGGCTCGGGAATTCTGGGACCTAAAGTCCAAGGTTGAGAGACACTGCTATAAGGATTAATAACAGCCTGTAGGTGATTTAAAACAAGGAAAAAAGATGGAGTCCCACGCTGTCTCTGTCAGGGTTCTTCTGATCAAAACCAAAACTCTATGCAGCTTCTTCTAAAATTAAATGGAGAAATCATGGGAGATCACCTGCCTGACTTCCATTTCAAACAGCAGCAGCAATTTTGAATTCTCATATATTTTAATACAGGAATATGAAGTGTTTCGTACATCACACATAAGCTCTTACTGTATTTCAAAGTATTTGAATAAGAATTCACATAGACAACAAGTTGCATATTCTGTGCCTGTACACTGGTCCAATTATCCCATAGAATTTAATCTAGATTATGATTACTTAATCCAGAGGTGCATCTGCAAATTTTGAAGTGCAGGAGATCATCCTAACTGTGTAAGGACAATAATAGCATAATATTTTATTAGCCTTATTTTGTTTGCAATTTATACCTGGAAAGAAGTTTTACTGAACTAAATGGCACTTACTTTCTGCTTCTAAAATAAAATGAATTTTAATAAAAGGTCTTGGCCTACTGTAATTCACATTAATTAGAAACAGCCTTAGATGTAACTAAAAATGCAAACCATCTCACAATTCAATATTGCCATTTACTCTGCTAGGTGAACTGAGATCATATCAAAGAAAAAGATCCTGGTTTCTATTTTAATTTGTTTTTCTTCATTCTCTGTCTTTCTCTTGCCCAGCCTGCCACTGATAATATTAAAATAGTAAAACTTGAAATCCTTATGATCATCCAGTTCATTTGCAAAAACAAAGAGAAGCTATCAATTAGCCAGGCGTTTCAGCAGATGACGTCACTCCCTCTGTTGCAGAAAAATAATCTCTACAACATTGGATTACTCATCAGAGGTAATGGGTTTGAAGGTGGAAGCTCTGCTGATCTTTTAGTTAGACTTGTGTAATTCTGGTATCAGGAAGAGGGTGGCCATAATTAGATCTCTGATTACCCAGAGGAATGTGGTTAGTTGTTTTTTTTCAAGCAACCAACATTGCATCTTGTAGATTGTTGGCAGAATGTATAGCAGGAGGAATACAAAGATCAAAATATCACTCAGCTTGCAGCTGCTGAAGTGTATCTATCTTAAAAACAAGATGTGGGGGTAGAGGTGGTGTTGGGGACCATGATTATTTTCATATAATCATTTCATATAATGATTATTTTGATTTAAGCCAATCTTCCCCAAATGATGCCCTCCAAACAGAATCAGTTTCAACTCCAATACCCCCTAAGCTAATACAGTGGCTGTGCTGGTTAGGAATATAGAAATGGAAGGAACACCAAGTTATAGAAGGCTACTTGAAAAAAATGTTTCACTGATGTAGACTAGTGAATGTGCTTTACTCCGGTGACATATAAATAAATAAATAAATTTATTTATTTATGGAAATTTTCTGAAGCATCCATCAGTCTCACCGATGCTGGCTGGGTTAATATGGGTTAATAGTAACTGACATACTGTAATGTGTAGGAATTAAAAAGATGGAAAATCTGTGGGCCTTCAGGTATTGCTAAACTGCAACTCCCAGCATCCCCTATCGTTGGCCATATTGTCTAAGCTAACACTAGGCCCACACTAACCAATTGCTTGCTTTAATATAGTTGGTTGCTTAAACTACAAGTGACTGGATCCCATAACATACTAAGCCCTAAAACATGGTTTACACATGATAATGGCTGGGTGGCCCCACTAAGCCAAACCAAAACCCACATTGTGGTTCAGTGCAATGTGAGCAGCTAGCCACTGATTCTGAAGCAAGTTCTACTGAGATAGTAAGACATTTTTTCCAGTAAATTATTGATTAAACTACCATTAAGGTCTGAAAAGTGTCTGTAATTATAATTATAAATATTATAAAATCACAATTTGATAGAGCCTGGTGCCCTGGGAAGGCAGGAGATGTGCCTAGAATGCTCCACAGCTTTCTAAGACTTTTGCTAGTGCTACCTTTACCACAGGAAGCAACAAAGTGGGAAGAGTAGTGAAAATTATGGGATGAATTAGAAGATGGCACAGCTGTCTGCTCCTAAAAGGGAGGAAAACAAAATCACTGCAAACTTCAACCAGGTATAACCAAGGTCTCAGTATAGCTAGGACTGAGGCTTTGTCACAATAGGGTTGAGTAAAATAAGGAAGTAGAAAGCTTGTGAGTTGTTATGTTATGTTATGATGTTTTATGTTATGTTGCTATGGCCCTTATGCCAGGATCTTCCTAAGAAGGTGCCTTAATGAGACTGACCCCACTTGCAGAAAAGCACCTAGCCAAGCTCAAACATCTGAGCCGGATTGTACCTGGTTAGTATTGGTTGAGAGGAGACTACCAGAAATCCAAAGCTTGTAGTCTAGGCTGGGAAACTGAAAAAGTATCCCAGAAGAAAGTAATGGCCATGCCAGGAAAACTACAGGGATGTGACCATGAGGTCACAGAATCAAGTTCAACTTGAAGGAACCTTTAATTACTCAAACTGGAGATATCCACAATACTCCAATGTGACCCACTGGCAGTACATCATTGCCACTTGGAAACCAGCAGGAAGTGGCTTATTTGCTCTTTGTCCCTCAGCCTTTGGCAGAAGCAGCCATTCACGTATGTGGTTCTCAGTCTCCCTGCCATTTTCCCTGACTTCCAGCCTACCGTTTGCACAGAGAAGGTGGGAGTGACAGGGCAGAATAGCTGGAGGCCGGATTTTCTCTTTGCTGAGGAATGACTTGCAACCACAATGAACTGTGTGGGGTGGGGTTTGGTCTATGGGATGTACTTGACCACTGCCAGCCAATCCTTCCCTCTATCTATTTCCATTTTAGGCATATAGAAAGAGCTGAGAGAGGAGTATATTTTAAGTTGGGAACTGATAAATTAGGAGCCACCCAGAGAGGAAGTTTATGTTTCTTGCATAAGACAAGCCCAAGGGAAAAGCAATGGCTCAAAGGCCAATTTCCTTCCTTTGCCTATTGTTGGATCATCCATGGACTCTGTTAACTGCATATTTTTAAGACAAAACTTTGCTATTTGTATCCTTCTAAAGTGCCAGAAGTGATAGAATATTTGCTGCAGACTTCAAATTTGGGGTTCAGACCTTAAATCTGAGATCTTTCTCTGAAAAAAATGGGGGAAATATAGTGTGAGATAATTACACTACAGAAGCACCTAATCTGCCGAGCAGCATCACCTGAACCATTTTATATCACACCCTAATCTCTGTACAGACATGAACGGAAGGAAGACTGAGTGAATCGTACAGATCAAAGGGGTTGGGGGGTGGGGAGAGCTGTTGGATGTACTCATGAGATCTTTAGGGGTGAGAAACCTATGGCTTCCAGGTGTTGTAGACTTATAGTTCCTAGTATTCTTTACTGTAGACAATCTGACTGGAGCTGCTGGGACAAGTCGTTCAGCCACATCTGGAGGGCTACAGGTTCTTCATTCCTGTACTTCCATTCTCTGGAATGGTAATTACATCCTGTCTAACTTGGGATCTAACTTCCTGAAGGAATAACTTTTATTACATAAATTTGCTATTTTCTGTCCATTGAAGTAATATTTACAGGCTTTTTTCTAGGTGGTCTTGCTTTCACAGGTTAGGTGGCTGGTAGCTGGAGAAAAATGTTTTATGATGGCCCATTTTCAGGCTGTTCTCCTGCAAGAACCTGATCCGGCACCAACTCTTATGTCTTTTGAAGGTGGGAATTTCATTTTCCTAGACTTTTAAAACTGTTACTTTTATATAGTTATTTCATCTGACACGATTTTAACATGCCTGTTAGCAAAGCTGAATCGAGTCCATAATGAGGCCTGAAACAATGGTTGCACATGAAGCAAAAATATGTTTTATCCCAAGCTTGGAACAGAACAGCCACATTTAAAATGTTCCTTCTGAACCTTTGAAAGGGTTGCATTCTGCTGGAACAAACCTCAACATGTTTCAAATGCTCTGATGGAGGACAATGATAAGTCAAGCTCTTTTTTCCTTGTTTTCCTTCAATTATATCTAATCTAAGTAGAAATGGTGGGATTCTCTTTCTCTCATAATCTTTCTGGACAGATGTGTAGTAAATGTGTAAAGAAAGAAAGGAGGAGGAGGAGAAAAACATTGTAGATATCCTCATATGGAACTACTGGAAGCAGACCTAGAACAGTAACATGTCTCCTGTGATCATGGACTTTACAGTAATTGCACAATATTTAGCATATGCCTTAATCTGGCTTTGATTGATAGAGCTAGAAGTGGTCCTTTGATCCCTGCTGAAAGGCCAGGTTCCTCATCCTTTTCTTCTTTCTAAACTGTATTTAATCATTAGTATATAACTTTAAGAATTGCTGCCTGAGTTTACTTTTGTCCCGATCCCTCCCTCTTTTTCCCTCTGTATCACTTTTTAAAATTGCAACTAGTTGCAATCCTTCCATTCTGCAATTTGTGAACCATATGCCGTAAGAATCCAATCATTTCCTCTAACGTTTCTCACCTGGCAGGTCAATAATAAGCCATCCATCTTCTTCTTCCTCTTTAGAAACAAAAGGCTTAGGATCCTCAAGGTCTTCAACTGTGCTGCTATCACTGAAGAAGAGGCTGGTGAAACGCTGGAACATGGCAGGAAAAGGATTTCTAAGGTGGACTTTGAAAGAAAAATGGAAGCACGGCTCTAAATGTTTGCTTCAGTGCGTGTAGCCAGAAGATGCTGCTGTGGTGTAAATTTTGGGAAAAATCGATGGATGAGTCTTCCAAAAGGCAGGAGCTATTCTGTTGCTTTTGCTGGGGTATTTTTCCCCTCCGAAGTCTTATCTGAGTTGAGTTATGTATAGTGCAATCATAAGGTTCTTCACTTGGCTTCAGTGCAAAGGCCTGCAAAGATTAAAGGGTGGCGGGGTGGAGAGGAGAGAGAGAGAGAGAGGACATAATTTAAATTCTCTTTTAAAAAGCAAAAATGCTTTGAATCACAATGAACTCAGATGACCCTGAGAAAGCAGGGGAAGAGAATCCTGGCTTTGATCATAAACTTAATTTGCCCTGATTATGACCTTTTTCTGGTGTCTTTTAGTTTCATCTCTGCAGGGTGGCCTCCCTTCTCACTTTCACTGAAAACATTTCTTCAGTGTCGATTTGAGCTCTTCGAAGCTCCCCTGAGTCTTGGGGAAAGACTTTTCCTACAAGCCCAGTTTGCTTGTATTAATGTTAACATGTTTTCCCTCATAAACATGCAAAAATACTTCCTGTTCCCTAGTCCCTCAGCTGGATTTGTTAAGAGGACAAATTCAGGACCTCTTTTGATACCCGTATTGCAGGTAATAGTTGATATTTGATGAGATTTGATACTCATATTGCAAGTAATAGCTGATATCTGATAAGTCTAGATGCCAGAAAGACTTCCAAAGGCTCAACAGTGGCCAGTCTATTCCAGTTTTCCTTACTGAATGCCCCTAAATGAGTTGGACTACAAAACCCATGACATCCCAGTCATCTTGCCCATAGGGCATGATGAGTTTTGCAGTCCAACTCACCAGGTGGGCTCCAGGTTGGGGAAGATAGGTTGCTCATACAATTAAAGAACTCTAAGGAAAAGGTCCTCCCAATCTCCCCAGACAAATATTTCCACTATCACAAGATTTTTTCCCAGGGGATCAGTCTGTAGTCCAACCTGAAATTTAAATCAGTGTTATGCAGTTCTGCCTTGAAGTTCTTCAACAGTTTTCTTCTCCTATGAAAGAGGCTTTTTGTTTTTCTATATTATTTTTGGAGAAGTTAAAATTTTTTCAGTTTTCTCTTGAATTTTTTATTTTATCTTATTGTTTGAGGTGAAAGGCAAGGCTACTTTTGGGATTGTGATTTACTGTTACCCCTCTTTCCATCATTCTGATGCCTCCCTGCCTGCTTACACATCCTGACAAGGCCAGGCAGTGGGGGAGTCCTTCCCTTAATAAAAAGTGTGGGAAGCCAAAAAAATTTGCAGAGCTTTTGAGAGACAGGTAAGACAGGACATTTATACACCTCTTTGCCACTGTGGAAGAACACTGCAGTCCACCCTTGAACATTTCTTTCACATCCTTCTCAGTTGAAAAAAAATCTAAAACTAATTCTCTGTCAACTAGAATAACCCTGATCAAGATTGGATGAGGGCTGATGGAAAACTAATGCAGAGAATTTTGCTGCACAGCAATCATTTAAATCTATTGTTTCTTCTACTGCTAACACCCATTAACTTTCTCCCAGCCAAACCTAAGAGACCAGCATTAATTCCATGCTTGCTATCCCCACAGCGACCTTGAGAGAATTTATGCCAACTATCCTTATACCAACTCTGGGTGAAGGGATTACAACTGACGGAAGGTTACTTCCTCTGCTGAAGAGAGATTTGAAAATAGAAGCCCAGCATTCTTAATTGCTACTCTGAACTGGCCCTGAACTTGTTCTATCCTTAGTAAATAAGGCAAAAAGTTTGCTTCTTTCCATCTTTTTAAATACTTGAAAGCAAGCAATGCATTCATCCAAACTGATGGAAGAACATCAAGAGCTGGCTCCTCTTTTAGCTACTAAAGGAGGGATGGATCAGAACTCTGCTGCCATTTCTGAAGCAGGAACATTTGCAATTGTTTGTTAGAAAAGTTTCTTATACTGATATCATTAAGCCAGGCCTCTGAATCAGAAATCCAGGAATTCACTTGGTAGAGCACCTTCAGATGCTGCCAAGTTGGCTTCCCAGTTCCACTTGCAAATTGAACGTAGTACGGGGGAGGATTTAAAGTCTTGAATTAACAACTCTACTTCTTAATTACTAATTAAACAGTAAGTATTGTACTCATTTTCATTTGCTCCAAAACTATAGGTTTCAGCTAGGTCCAGTCTATCATACCAACAGTAGAATAGATGATGAATAATTGTGCCCATTCATTACACATTTATTTTTAAAAAATATTTCTATGCCACCTTTTAGGCCAAAGCCCTGCCAAGCACATATGCCTACATTCAAAATGCAGAAAGATCTATATTTGAAACAGTGGTTGAAAATTATTTACAATGTACAGTATATTCATATAAAACTAATTTAGCAACTGAGAAAAAGACAATTTAAAATCCAGCTGCATTAATATTTACCATACAAAAAGTTTTTAAAAATCAGCCTGCCAGCTCAATGTAATGTATCTTCAAAAGCAACTTTAGAGACTACAATTATGCACATCAGGTTTTCTGACATTTGATCAATCAAGGAATTATCTTTGCAAAGTATTTGTGTACTAGCAAGACGGTTAGCCGCGCAGATGCCTAAAGGATTATAGTTTCCTTCATTTTGTAGTACGGGTAGGAAACATTTTTAGTTCATTCTTGAATGCAAGCCTACTTAATTTTCCATTTTTTAACCAATACACAGACTGAAATTGAATTATCCCAATTTTACAGTTTTTTATAACTTTCAGTGCAGTTCACTATCCATTTTTAACATGTGCGTTCAGGAAAAAAAGTTTTAAAAAACATTGTGGAAATTGTTTGCAAAAGCTATAATACTTAGTTGGAGAAATTTGCATTGAAAGTACACATTTTAATCTGAACGTACAATATTCAAAAATTCTCAATGAACTGCATTTACCCTATTCACAAAAACAAGAAACTGGAAAAAAACCAACCCTGAAATGGACAGATTGGCCAAGCCATAAGGGGGTTAGGGGGGAAAAAAACCCTTCAAAGTTCCTCTACTGATTGAGTGGCACAGAACTCAGAGCAATTGGCGCTTGCTCTAGAAACGGGGGGGGGGGGGTTGCAATTAAAAAATGAATTGAGAGGGAGAAGTCTATAAATACAATTTGTAGAATGTGTGTGTATATATGTATATATATATAAAATGCAATTTACTTCAAAAGTTCAGCTTTAATGATGCAAATCTTACTATTAACTTTATTAGTAGGTGTTTAGATACTAGGAAGAACATCCCGATGTTAAGAATGGTTGAATGGATGACCTCAGGAAGTGATATGTTCTCCTTCACTGGAGATCTTCAGGGACTGGATAGCCATCTGTCCTGAATGTTTTAACAGACACTATCCAGAGGAGAGGGTTGGAATACATGATTCCTGTTCTACTTGGCAACTGCATGTTATGATATGGTAGGTCTGCACCAGAAACAGTGGAAATGCTGTAGCCAAAAGGGATCACACAATGTAATCATTTGGACATCTACCTCAGGCCTGATGATACAAAACAAGGTTACAAAAAGTGTATCTCAGGAACCATACACAGCCTATCAGCATATATTTTGCTTTTGTGCTCCTTTCCCCCAGAGGTGGTCCCACCCCCAAAAAAACTTCTTTTGTGTGTGTATGTATATGCTTTTGAGGTTTGGGGCAGATAAAGAAGCCAAAAGAGGACCTTAACAACCCTTGCAGGCACAAATTGTGAGGGATCAAGGCTATCAGGAAGGAGGGGGTGCATTCTAGGAAGGGAAAGGAGACAAAAGACAATACAGTCTGCAGGGGGAGTGTGGGAAGCGAAAGAGGTTCAGGATAGCCACTCCCTAGAATCTCCCAGGGTATATCCACTAGTTGCAATAGTATAGATTTAGTCTGGTAAGATTCTGTCTATAAGATGTAAGCAAATAAAGGAACTTTATTCACCTGGACTGTTCCACTGTTGTTCTTGGGCTGGGCCTGACACGAACTGTCCAAACCTCCTAGGGTCCTAACCCCAACCACTCATGATAAATGCCATGCAAAGCCCGGGGTGGCCTTTGAGTCAACAGGAATTGTGCCTTTCTAATATCAGGAGGTAAGGCTTTGGAGTAAGAAAGCTCTTCCACCTCACTGCGGCTACATCCCTTATTAGTCTCCAACTTCTAGCTTCCATTTGTACCAGAGTTTATACAGTATCCTCTTTAACTAGGAACTCAATACTAAATCCCACCGAATAGGGCTCCCTGGCAAGCAGGATGGGATTGTAGTCCCAGTCTGCTTCTCTCATACCCCGTTCTTCTCCAATGTTGTGTCCTCCAGATGTTTTGGACTGCAGTCATTATTGTCAAATTCTTTTGGTAGATTACAATTCTAAAGCTACACTTAATTTGTCTCAAAGAATTAATATCTCACCCAGTTAGAAGATGTAACAATATAGAACATATCCTAGAAGAAATTCTGGAGTGGAGAATTTAGGAAAGAAAATTCTGGGTCAGAGCTGGTAGGATGTGATTTCCCAGCCAAAAGTCTTCTTCATATACTCCAGAAATTGTTCAAATAAGTGAATACATGGCCCACGTCTTACTGAATGGATGCCTTTTTTCCAGAGTTCCCTCCATCACCTCTGCTGTCTACAGAAGATCCACTTTCTACTTCCCAATGTGTCCATCCAGTTAGATATGTTCAGGAGGATAGTTTTGCTCAGAAAAAGATGGTTGCCTCTCTTTCCTTCATGATGGCATTTGTTCTAAACAAAGCCTTCAGTTCATTGTCTTCTGGGACCTATCCATGGCAATTGCTTGAAGCAATTACCTAGGGAGGGAACTTCAATGGAAGCCATTATGATGCCAGCAAACCTATATCTAAGCTGACACCAGTGACTGAATCCAGTAAGAGGAGTAAGCAGCACAGGAGAAGCTTGGCAGAGGAGTCACTTATCTGACATGTTTGTGAAGTAATTATATTGGCATTTACTCACATCTCCAATCTTGTATTTTGTTTACTTTGGAACAAAGCCAATTTATCTTAACAAACTTCCAAAAGGAATATTCCTAAGCATATAAATATTCCTAACCAGAGTCACTGCTGTGGGATGGGCGGACATATAAGCCATATAAATAAATAAACAAAACAAAACAAAAACTTATCTCCAGTGGCTCTACTAGGTTTCTGTTCCATTAAGCAGGC